GATGGAGGCATCTCTGGACCAAAATAGGGCAGGTTGTTGCTGACAGTATTAGTGGGAGAGGTGGGCACCAATCTCTCAGCAAAAGAACCATCAGTTGATGGAAGCTCTACCACACTGTAACACAACAAATACGGCATACACAAACATTGCTTGACCCTGTGACATCTAGATAAATGCAGGTAATGTCTTTTCAATCATCACAGAAATGTCCATATATCAATTTAGGTTTTAACTACTTGCTGGTACTCTCAAGTCTGCTTTACCGTGGTTTCAGGACATGAAGGCTGGCATTCTTCTCAATGTTCCAGACAGTGATGGATGTAGTGCCCAAAGCACATAGCTGGAGCCAATTCTGAGGGTTGAACACCAAAGAAATGACATCCTGCCCAGCTTGTGGTTGTGTACAAATTGGCTCAGCATTTTCCCAGTTCCTGCATCACACAGTCACAATTACAGTAACAGAGCTGCTCAGCCTAAATAAACATAATTGAAAATATATATCACACAGTATAAGGTAGTGTACTACTCTCAGTGGCTTACCACACTGTTATGGTGTGGTCTGGAAAAGAGGAACAACATCCCAAATAAGGACCACCATTACTTAACGTCAGAGTTGTGTAGTCCAGCTGTGCTGTTCCTAGAAAAAAAATCAATATTCAGTATTTGTGTGAGAGAAAATAAATGTAGGAGGCATGTACACAAACAAACATTAAAAACTCAATACATCTTGGTGGAAAATCGCAGTAAAATCATACAATCTCCCCTTACCTTTTAGTTCATTCTTCAACTGAAGCTGGGGGAAAATGTACACAAATATAGATGGGGATAAACGTTGCTCAGAAAAAGCAAAAATTCCACTGGTCCCATTGGCTGTCAGTGCACCAATGCCTCCGCCTGGGCCCTGAAGCACACTTTGCAATTTTGTCTCCAGGTTCAGGAAACAGATATGACTCCCACTGGTGTAACATACTGTTTTATTGTCGACAAACTCGATACTCTTGTTTGTAAAACCTTGCACCCACCTGGAGGGAGTAACACAAAAGCCAAACATTATCTAGGTGGCAAATTGCTATAGACACTTGTATAAAACGGTACTTGAACATGAATATACACACTGTTCGATTGTAAAAATACATATGTGTGTTTGTAGCGGCTACATACCTGACTTCTAAACTTCCAATATCGTCCATTTGGAGGTGATACTAAAACAACACACCGTAAAATTTAACTTTTTTTCAAGAGCTCAACAGCCATACAAACAATTGTGAATCATTGTGTAACCCTGGCAACCAGAAGAAACCACTCTTTCGTGCCATTGGCTGATAATTTATCTGACACGCCCACACAGGAAGTATATAACAAATACATTAATTCAGCTGTAGTTTATACCGCTGCACAGTTCGCTCTTTTTTCTGTCGTTTACAGACTTTCTCCGTTCGTACCAAGACCTTTTCCACACTGACTTCATCCACCACCTGAAGTGCGACCATGTCTACTGAAAAGTGTTTCGCCAATGGTAAGACGTACGGCGATTACTGTGCTAACTGAAGAGTCTTCTGCAGGCCTCTACGAGGTTGAATTAGCTTTCAGTTCGACAGTTAAGGGGAAACTTGATTTTTAGAAATTTACCACCCAATCTCCGTCTCTTTCAACACTCATTTATGTAAGCGTGTGGCAGACGTCCTTTTCAATGTCTTAACGGTGTTTGAAACATTCAAAATTGTGAAATTTTTATTTGGTAACACTGTATTTAATGCAGCCCGCGATGTATATTGTAATTCCCCAACATTTATCGTGTAATTCCTCTGAATTTACGGTGTAATTTCGTCATATGAATCATTACTTATAAAATACTTAACGTTTGGTACATAATTGTACATACAGCGGAACAAAAAATTAAGAATTGGGATTTTGCTGAAAGTTTAGAGTTACACTTATTCACTTCCAACAAACTGTCAGGTGCATATTCGAGGTCCGTGCATGTTCACTTTCTTTTCAACAGAATGCACTATTTTACATTAAATCCGGAGAAAACTGAACCTGCCAGAGGGTCAGGAACAGTTGCGCCATTTTCTTTTTCTTTTTTTTTTGCAAAGTCATTGTGATTATGCATGTAGTAACCTGTTCAGTTCAGTTCGTAAAGCTAAAAATAGATAACAGGAATGTATTGCAAATGGTTCAAAAGTGGAAAACCCTGTTCAAGCCTTCATTCACTTGCTGTTTCTATAGTGTACATGGCTCCACAACCAGCCGGCTAAAGATTTTCTGACTCTTATAAACTTTACTAAACTTTGAATCTGTAATTGTTTTTATTTTAGATGTGAAGCACAGTATATAAGCCAGAGTTACAGTAATATAAGTACTTGTTAATGGTAGTAAACATAAATCAGCATGCTCTCCTAGTTGCTCTTTATCATGTATGGAATTCCTTTTTTTTTCTTTTAGGAAGCGCTGCACCTGGTCCAGTCCCCAAAGGCCACATCAGGATTTACAGTATGAGATTCTGCCCCTTTGCCCAGAGAACCAGATTAGTGCTGAATGCCAAAGGAATCAAGTAAAGAAACATTTTTATTTAACCATAGCATCACTAATACTGCACTTGTGATTTAAGTCTATTTTTGTCTTTCAGACATGACACCATCAACATCAACCTGAAAGATAAACCTGACTGGTTCATTGAGAAGAATCCCCTTGGTCTTGTCCCAACACTGGAAACACCTGCTGGTGAGGTGATATATGAGTCTCCCATCACCTGCGAATACTTGGACGAAGTTTACCCTGAGAAGAAGCTGCTTCCTTCATCTGCTTTTGGTAAAGCTCAGCAGAAGATGATGCTGGAGCATTTTTCCAAGGTATATTTTATGAAAACCCACAACTAAATCTTGGGGTGGTACTGTTACCATCACCAAATAATCAGCTTACAACAACTGTTCTCTACAGGTAGTACCATACTTCTACAAGATATCAACAGGGAGGAATAATGGCGAGGATGTCTCAGGACTGGAAGCTGAACTGAAAGAGAAGTTTGCCAAATTAAATGAGGCAGGTTGCGAAGTCGAGTGCTCTTGTTTCTTTATACCTTCACTAGACATGTAATTTGGTAGTATGTCCTTAGGAATGAGTGCAATTGTAATTGCCTATGATTTTTTTTATAAACGGTCAAAGATAATGAGTAAAGTGAGATCATCCATGTGTCCCTCTTTAATGACTGTACATTTACAGTATTTTATCCAACACTTACAAATGTAATGTTTATTCTTCAGGACCTGGTTAATAAGAAGACCAAGTTTTTTGGTGGCGACTCCATCACGATGATCGACTACATGATGTGGCCGTTTTTTGAGAGGCTGGATGTCTTTGAACTGAAACAGTAAGTAATAATCTCTCAGGACATTTAAAAATAAATGTGTTTTATTTATGGAAGCATTTAAAGACACTTGAGGTCACCATAGAGTGGAGCAAAAGGTACAAATAGTAGGAACAGTGCAAAAGTAAGACATAGAAGTCAATTCTTCCTTGTCATCTTTCCGTCATGACATCTGATATGACAGATGTTTTTGTGTGACTTATGTTCATGTGTTGTAGTTTAGTCTTGGGTGAATGCTTTGATTCCCGTTGTCTTTTCAGCTGCCTTGACAACGCGCCTGAGCTGAAGACGTGGACAGAGTGCATGTCGGAGGACCCGACTGTCAAAGCCACCAGGCACAGTGTGGACACCTACAAGGGCTTTTACAAGACTTACATTGAGGGAAAACCCAACTACGACTATGGCCTGTAGAAAATACTGACGAGAACATTAAACCGTCCATTTATATTCATGTTTTTGGTTATGGTTATTGTGGATTCATTTTGTTTTTCAAACTTTGATGTAATAGGAAATATGCTTCAGTGAGATATCATGAGGAATTCAGGTTCCATTTGAGGAGGGAAAATGTGTTTTTAATTGGACATTTTCAGACTTATTTTGTTATGAGGGAAAAAAATCAAATCATTATAATGGGAATGGGTTACAGTAATTGTATGACTCAAGATATTTTCAATGATCCATCTCTGCTGCACTGTTTCTAATAAATTGTGGATGTAATGACTCTGACCTGGATCTAAATTTCCTGTCTGTGTAACAATAAACAAAAATGACATTTTCCTGCCAGACTACACAGGGTGGTCCCAATGAACAACCTGGAGCACTATCGAAGATTTGACATCAATGCAGTGGAAATGTAACAGGCAAAATGAAGTTTTGCTCTCTAATAAGCATTAAAAAAAACGAATACTTAACATTGAACAACACTGAACGTAATAGCTGCCATCATATTTGCAACAGTATGAATGAAAACAAAAACACTTCTATAATGTTTGGTAAATTATTCCTGTTTAGACCAGCATAATATGAGAGGTATTTCTGTTAAAATTGAGAAATATATTTAGAAGATTATTATCCTTCATGTATATTACTTGTTGCTGTTTTGAGAGCCAGTGGGATATACATATATAACACTTCTCCTCTTGGTTATACGTCTAAAACAAGCAATGTGATTTTTGAGCTTCAGAAGAATCCTACTGAGTGATTTTTTACATTACACTATTTTGGTGCTTGGCTTTACAAACAGAACCCGCTGTTGAAATGCTGTATAAATATAAAGACGGTTGACAATGGTTTGATGATGAAAATGCACTCTCTATCACCATTATCAAAACAAAATTAGGGAATATCATTTGGGAGATAGGTGTTCACCCCTCCAGTAGACTCATTAAAACTGTTCTGGCAGCATGTGGTGGCCAAACACCTTACTTTATGACACTTTATGTTGGTTTGTCACACATCTGTATATTACACACACACGCTATATATATATATATATATATATATATATATATATATATATATATATATATATATATATATATATATATATATATATATATATATATATATATATATATATATATATATATATATATATATATATATATATATATATATATATATATATATATATATATATATATATATATATATTTATACACACACACACACACACACACAATGGTTACTGTGTCAAGTGTAACAAAAGCAGCTACAGCAAAACCGCTGAACTGAAACGGAAACAACTGTTATATGTGCACCTTGTATTAGTAACTTCACCTTAAGTAACACTGAATGGCATTTTAAGATCTGCTGGTGGTAAAGGTTAGAAATAATTCAGACACTGGATGTGGCCAGTGCTCACAACCTTTCATCTAGGCTGTGGTGTAAACCTCCATTTGATAAGTGAGGTGTGTACTCTTGTATGAGTACAGGTGCATTTCTCAGCATCTCCTGAAAATGCCTGACTGTTGCAGCGTAAAGCTCTGTCTGCAGCACCAGAGACCTGAACAGATTGATGGGCTCTGCTTTGCGAATTAACTTAGGAACGTGGACTTCTTCTGGCACTTTGCTGTTCCCAATCAGAACATGATGAAGTCTCTTCTCTTGTAGGCTGCTCTGCAAGAAGCTGAGCACATCCCGAAGCCTGTGCTCCATACTCCCAATGCCCCACACAGAGGATCTTTTACTCAGCAACAAGTGCATCAGAGCAGTCTTTATGTGGTAGTTAGTAAGGGCGCTCTTTCCTGTGAGCCCCGTCTGCTTTCTGTGTAGGAAAGTAACAACCTGAAGACAGTGTAAATGACAGGAATTTTGTGGCAGACGTTTAGTGAAATGTTTCAGCAAATTCCTCTCATAAACAGCAAAAGAGAGGGGCCAGTGTGGGCCTGGAGAGCTGTCACAATCTGATGGGAAGTGCGAGACAAAATAAGCATCTGTATCCTCCAGCTGAACCACAGGTATTATGTTCAGTACGATGACTTTCCCTGAACGGAATCGGATCTTCAGAGCACCGGCGGCATCCAAGTTACGGAAAGTGACCTCAAAGTCGTATTTGTGAGAGATGCGTCCCCACGCTTTGGTTACAGAGATCTGAAACCACTTCATGACTTGATCTTTGGCCAAGAAAGGTGTGTTCTTGGAGCAAAGCAGTTCATCAGGGCTGCGGTCCACTTTGATGGCTTCATTCCTGCTATGCAACAGACAAAGCACGTCCTCTCCCAGATTAGCAGAGCCACAGACACAGCCGTCCTCGCTCTCCCCAAACCTGGTCACCTTTATTTTGCCACAGCCCTGCATGTCTGGAGGCATGTCACTGTTAGGGCTGCACCACAGATGAAACTGGAAGGAGTATGGATCTGGAGGCGAGAAAGGCACTACAAGGTCGCACATTAGAGGCTTGCACACCTTCCAAGACTCGAACATGCTTCCAATTCCGACAAAGTCCCCGACTTCCATGTCTGCCTCCCTGTCACACATACTCCTGAGCGATTCCAGTAAATCATCGGCAAAGCCCTCAACAAACTCCCTCACCCTCCAGTTTTCATGGGCTGAAGTGTAGGTACATTTGTCACAGAAGTTACTCAGGATATTTTTATCTAGTACCATTGTCTTGGGGGTGATGGATCCACTCTCTGAAAATATGTCTTCATCATCAGCCGGTCGCATTTCTGTGTCAGCAAGATCCACCCTGCACATCTCGATAGTGAAGAATATGATGAAAGACACAGCGCTCCAAAAGTACCAACTATAACCTTCCTCTGAGGTGGTTTCTTCGGGCTTTGGGTCAAGCTGTGAAAGCTCTTTCTCCAGCCTGGCCTGCTCCATTTCCAGCCTCTCCTCGTGCTCCCGCATGCGAGCCATCAGCTCCTCGTCCTGGTCCGGGAGCGTGGTGTTCTCTTGAGGAAAGAGCAAGGGACGGTTTAGTATGGCAGCAGCCACCACCACACACACACGTGCAATGGCCCCCTGCATCTTCAGCTAGTTTCTAACATGCATATTTAAGCACTTCGCAGACGTCCGGGCAACTGCAGCTCAGGTCCTGAAACAAAAATAAAAATGGTGGTTTTAGTGAAAAGTCAAGTGGATGTAAGGCAAAAATGAGCATTGGTGTACTGGATAAAATATATGAAAATTATGAGCCAGTTAATTTTGTAAAGCACTCCACCCATCAGGGGGAGGAACAGATTGTTCCTCTAAATATAGAGGCAGTGGGCTGAGTGACGCACTCGTCCAGTATCAGACTGTGCAACATGGGAGGAAGGAAGATTGCGCCCTTTAGAAGAGCATCGCCCTTCTCCAATAAGCCTATTTGTTATGTCCCTGTTAGCATTTACATCCTGTTGACATTTTATCCAAAACAAGATGAATAAAACCCTTCTTTCTGGAAAACGTCCAAATAAAGTTTGTATACAATGAAATTCAGATTCTAAGTGAAACAATGCGGAAAAAAAACTCACATTGACATTTTTTTCCTGGACGTCATCAGATAACCAACAAGTAATGCAATATACTGTACAGAACAGGAAATTACATAAGTATCTTGTGCAGGCTTGTGGTACAACTGAAAGTACACTTTTAAAATGCTCTGGTGAGGATTGGCTGAATGACAAACTGTCATCATTATGATCTTTAAAATAAAAGTATGTCATGTGGTTAAAATGGGACTTCCTCTGGCAAGACACCATAAAGACACAAGAAAGAGGAAGTGCACATGCATCATGATCTCACTGTAACATCATGAGATTATTAAGTGTTCTCAGTCAGACGAGCTTTAAAATGACAGCAGTAATTGCAGTGCAGTTGTGCACCATGAGGGCAGGAAAACTTCCCATGACTTACTCACTGAGATGTTTTCCAACATTTTACATGGCTCAGCCCATCCAAACAAACATCAAGCCAAGAGGCCTGTGTTATAGTTCATTCTTAGTTATTTAAGATCCGATTTAAGATCAGATTGTTACAGATCATGAAGGCTACATTCAATGTTAACTTTTCCCAAAAAGAGATTTCAGTTACAGCTGCAAGGCTCACAGAAGTACTAACACCCTTTATCAAACACTTGAAATAACAAATAACTCATTACTCCAGACAAAGAATTTAATTAATAGCAATAAAAGCAATAAAACATACACTTGCTCAATTGAAAGCATTCACAGATTTTACTGCTACAGCCTAAACTGGTCTGGTATGAGCAGTAACTTACGGTTAATGTTAGTGCCACAACTTTACCTTCCCATTTTTAGTATTTTTTTCAGCAGTTTAGCATTACACTCATTTGGTGGTTCCAGCTTCTCAGATTTGAGAATGTGATGCTTTGTTAGCCATATATGATAACAAACTGAATATCTTTAGGTTCAGGACTGTTGGTTGAATAAAACAAGACAAGCCATCTGAAAGTGTCCCTTTGTGCTGCACGAAAGTATAATGTACATTTTTCACTATTTTCTTACGTTTTCTAGACACGATTACTTGATTGAGAAAATAATCAATAGATTAATTGATAAAGAAAATAACCATTAGTTGCAGCAATACTTTATAAGTGTAATAAAGATTCCTCTTTTATTTTATTTTCCTCTTCCCATCTTCACCTACCTCACTTCCTTTCCTTTCCTTATCACCGATTGGCTCTTGTTTTCTCACCCTCCACCCCTCATTTACCTGATAGAGTTCACCTGGGCACTACAAGATTATTTAAGGGCTTCACTCCACTCATTCAGTGTTTCTTTTCACCTTCACATGGGGTGGCAGTTTCTGGTAAGAAGTTTGTTACTCTTTAGTTCCTATAGTTTGTTTGTGTCTCACAGAACCTTATTCATTCGTATTTCTTTAATTAGTCTGAAATGAGACTATGTTGTGCTAATTTAACCCGCAACCCATGTGTGTCTTCCTTTTCAATGTTGAAATAATTAACAGAGAACAAACCATTGTTTGATTGGATATATGTTTAATGGCCACCATTCATTCACCCTGCATCCTGACCTGATGCCCATGGTGATAGTGAATCACCTCTGAACCTCCTACTTAACAATAAGAGAACTATATATTTTGTATGAAACAACTAACTACAGATGTCATGTTTCCTCTAAAACTACATGTGTTAAGAGTATGGTATTTTCAGCTAGAATAAAATGGAGGAGCTTGAAATGGAAGTACAAGTAATCTACTTTCAAATTGCACTGAAGTACATGATAAAATGTAAAGTAAATGTCATGTTGACTGAACCTATTAAGCTTCAGGGTGTTTGGAAAAATGGAGTAAATGACGAGGCTCTGTCACTGACATGGCTGTGTATTTGTAAAGTGATGCAGTTTGGACACGGTGCCAGCGGTTACCTCCTCCTCAAGTTTTCTTAGCAACAAAATAGTGACCTACTCATCACGGAAATGTGGTGGCACACAAACACTATTCCAGACAAATGAGTCACTTCACAGCCTGCTGTCTAACAAACGGTGCCCTATAGTATTCTGTGCGAAGCTTCAAAGCAAAAAAGAGCAACTTAAGTGTTTTCTGAAAATATAAGTAACAGTAGTATTGCGTAATTTGTGCTGGTAACATCATTGCATGTTTAGCAGCTTGGACTCACTCTTCGTGGATCTACAAGTCAATTGAGAGGTGAATCCAGAAGACATACGCTGTGTAAAAGGTTGATAAACCTACCTTTGCGTTGTTCTGAGTTGAAATCATAATAAGCTTCATGTGGAGGACTCTCCGGTGGAATCAGCCTCATCATCAAACTCATGTGAACGAGGGAACAGTTTCACAGCATTTTTTTTTTTTTTTTTTTTTTTTTTTTTAAAACACATTTCCTGACTGCACGCTCCACCCATAACGACAGAGACCGCCCAGCTTCCTCTGCTCAACCACAATAGGGACGAAGATGTGTGGGGCAGGGCTGCAGTTCATAATGAATCATAAATACTGTGCACAATTTAAATGTTTTAATGCCACTGGGGGGGGGTCTCTCATGAGAAAACTATCATGTTGACCATGTAAAGTACAGAGACTGGAGTTGGAGCATTTCAGAACTTGCCTGGGAATCATTAGATTTGAAAGATTTTAATTCAATATTGTCAGTACAGCAAACGGTACAAATAGGAACTGTTAATATCTAATTCGGTGTACTTTTTTAAAAAAATGTAAACAAATATAAGCTAAAGGGCTCAAGTTGTTGATCATAATGATGAAATCCTGATCTCATGAAATCTTGTCTTGTAATTGAAATAACAATGTACTATTTGCAGAATTATGTGGTTTATAATCCTGCATGGATGCATCCTGCCACAGTATTGTATTTTGAAAAGAAACATTTTGCATCCACAGGGTGGCGCTTTATGCTTGAGCAAAGCCAGATCAAAAGCAAAGGAGGAAACGACACATGAGGCAAAGATTGGTCAAAACTCACTTCCACTAACAGGCTGTTCAGACAAGAACAGCAACAACAATTCTAACTTTGACCTTTTGGAAGCAGAAATGAACTGACTTGCAGACCCATACACATTAACATTTGTCTCAGCTTCTTTAATTTGTGAAATTTCAAATTGATAAAATGTAAAAGGACCAGTGTTTCACATGTCACGTTTTTGTTTTGTTTGGCAGGAAAGTCTGAAAGGGTGTTACACAACTGTAGTGGTGAAAGTCCAGGGTTAAACATTTGAATAAATTTCCACTCCCATATGCCACATTCTTGTTTGTAGAATATGCATGAAGTCTTCTTTGTTGCCAGAACTGAATAACACATTTGTCCACGTGATAAGCTAACTAGCAGTATACGCTAGCTAACTGTTAACTTCATCAGTGACAATTTAACAAGAATTCACATCCAAGCTCATAGCTGTGAAAAGCAAAGCTTTAATTTTATACCTTCTTCATTTCTTCAAATTTTACGCAAATATCCACTTGGCCTCAAGGACAAGAAGACAATTGGTTAACATACTGATGGTTCACTTGATAATCATGGGTAGGTGTGTTTCATAATCTTTTTATTCATGCCAAAAAGCTGCATGGCTATTGCATAAATCTAGGTTAAGATTTGAATATTTCCACTCAAGCAATCTAAGAGTATGCTGCTGATATAGTGATGCTGTTCCCTTCCCCCAAGCATCCATATACCTAGAAAGGCTATGTAATCATTATTATTGATTGCATGACTCTTCATGTCATTTTTGCATGTTGTGACACAAAGCTGTGTGCATGTCATTTGACATTTGAATTCAGAGATTTCTCATGAGCTGCATGTGATGACAATTTTTTTTTTTTTTTTTCATTTCAGGAACATTTCTATGATGCTGCAAGCAGAACAGGATGCATTTTCTGGTTTCTGAAAACAGTGCAAAGGAAGATTCATAGATCTGCACTGCCACCAAATATCTCCATTGACTTTTCTCCAGGATGTCCAAATTTCCAAAGGACTAACAATGTTTAAAGGTAGCTTGATGGGATGCTTGAGGTCCTCTCCACCCTCCCAAGATTCCTGGATACAGGAGGATTGCTAAATTTGGAATGAGATGTTTACAATGGCTTGAAGTTTCTTTCTTATCAAGATTTCACTCTCCTATTTGCTGATGAGATATCCTCCAGGCTGCTTCTGAAATGGGATATGTTTTTAAAGCCAAATGTCATAAAAGAAGCTAAGGGGCTCACTTCAACACCAGAATTGTCACTTGGTGCAGTCAGCAGAAATTCCCCAGGAAGTGATCTTGATGAGGAAGCAAGTGAGTTGAATTTCTGTTTTAAAGCATTTCCTATAGTTAGTTATTGAAGTATTTTCATGTTTGTAATAATTATTCATTTGATGATACCTGATCTTCTGGAGGATGTGGCCCAGTATGAGATCATATTGCTTTTTGAATCTCACACACTTCATATGGGAAAAAGTCGTTTTCCCGGATTTATAGTTTTCATTATGGATATTCTGAACAAAAAAAATGTCCCACAACGATTTGAGTGTTGGCAATGGCATTGGTTTGAATTCTATTCAGACATTGTCTTCTGAAAAACATCCCATTGTTATTTGGTGACATTATTACAGGAAACAAAAACTGGAATTTGTTGCTGTTTTTTCTTCAAATAATGAACATTTTTTCACCTTCAAAAAGCCGTTTGATGTTCAAAGCTCATACAATGTTTCAGAAAAAAGTTTGTACATTGTCATTCACAATGTTTTAATTAAACTATATAAATGACTGGAAGTGACAAAATAAATGTTTTTGAAAAATACCTTGTTTATTGGAGTCAATTATAATTAAAATTTTCAGTGTAGATAGCTTGACACTTTAGTAGATGACACTAACACTACCCAAATAGTTAAGTGTTACGGGTCTAATGTGTCCCCTACTGTTATATAACTTTCTGTGCGTTAAAGAAGGAACTCTGGCACAGTGGTAATATTTAACTATTCTGAAAGTGTTAATCTACTCTGGAAAATGTGGAGTATCATAAACCCTGTGTTGAAATCAACTGTATGGGTGTTAATTCAACTCTGCACTTTTTGCTGTGAGCATTTCATCCTTCTTAAAGAAGGAACACATCCGTTTTTTTTTTTTATAGTACAGGGATGACACCCTCAGAGAGCACAGAGAGACTCTTTCTGCAGATTCTTTGGGACTGGTTAAGAGAATGGACAAGCCTCCTCAGATCACCATGTTTTCCAGTTTTGTTCTCTCTCAGCGTTTATATGTGCTGCTGCTTTCCTTATATCTGTCTGGATCTGCTCTGCTCCAGACTGGCACTGGTACGTCGCTTCAAGATCCAGCCTCAAAGCAAAGTGACATGGGCAGCGACTTGGAGGTGCTTGTGCAAGATTTCCCGCAACCACGTATGTTTTATTTTCCCCCTCTCCGTTGTGCACTGGTACTGGAAGCCTGTGGTTTCTCCCCCTGTGGCACCTGCAATGCTAGCTGTTGTTAAAGATGTACTGGCTTGCTTACTCCTGTTCGACACGCAGTACTTTTTTTGGCATCTGCTGCATCACAAAGTGTACTGGCTCTACCGTTTCTTCCACAAGGAGCACCACGTCTACACGGCCACCTTCTCCCTGACGACGGAGGACACAAGTGTCTGGGAGATGCTGAGCCTCAGTTTCTTCACAACACTGAACCCTGTGCTCCTCGACTGCCATCCGCTCACGGAGATGCTCTTCTTCATCGCTAACATTTATCTGTCTGTGGAGGCTCACTCGGGCTATGAATTTCCCTGGTCTCCACACAGACTGGTGCCCTTTGGCCTCTACGGAGGCGCTCAGCATCATGATCTCCACCACCTCAAATTCAAAGTGAACTATGCGCCGTACTTCACGCACTGGGACAGACTTTTTGGCACACTGCACACACAGAAAAAGTCAAGAAACACAGAGACTTTAAAGAGGATGTGTTTATCAGATTCTGCAACGACTGATGAAGACTGACTTTGATTTAAATTTGTTTTAATCTAAATATGTACAAGTATGAATAATAGATGCCAAAAGATGCTGAGATTTTTAGTCATGCTCCAAAAATGTACTATTGGCACAATACTATAGCATTATTGTAACTGCCACGAAACTAAGATGACTACAGCATCCATTCTTCATGAAGAAAACTATTTTGAAGTATTGCATTTCAGTATTGCAGACATTTCATTCATCTTTTTCATACAAGTTACTTTTTTTTTATTTACAAAAACTCTGTCTCTGATATATGCGCATATATTCAGTTCTCCAAATTTCCAGTTCCATTTTTCATTCTCATATAGTCTATATAAAACAAATAAATGTAAAACTGAATTTCCTTGATATTGAAAATGAGAGACACTGCACAGACTATGATTTGGAGTTGCTGCACAAATAAAAACACTGAGCAAACTAAGCACTACCCAATGTTAAAATTTGGTTCCAGTGTGATAATGAGAAATGAAAGTAGACAGCCAAATGAGCATCCCCAAAATAACATGGGGCAAAAGTAATGGGCTTCCTTCCTCATGGATTTATGGGTCAAGAAACAAACGAAGTGTTAAACTGGTTTTTAGATCTCAAAGTTCAATTAATGATTTGTTTCCCCAAAGGTTTACAGAAAGTAATGATCAGTTTCCACAATCCCAACTTCTTGTCAATGCGATTTACTTCATTGTTTTACAGAATGTGGAACTTGAATTGAGCAACGAAACCACTATAAATAAAAGGGAAATTTCATTTGACAGTACTGGTGATTATGTTATGACTAAGCAAAGTCGTATAAAATACTTTTCATTATGATTATTTGCAACTGTTTTTGCACAAACTTAAATGGTTTAAGGATAATCTTATTCCTACCCTGCTGTCGTGGCATAAGCTTGTATTTCACTGCACTCAGCATCTGACTCTAAGTAGCTGCAGAGGTTGGTTTACATTAAACACGCACAGTGCAGGTGCAAAAATTAAATTAGCCCTTGGATTTACTCTGTACATGGCTAGTCTTCCAAGGACATTAGAGATGGCATGGAGGACATGGTTGAAAGGCTGTGTTGGCAGTGAACAGCGAATGAGCAGGATGATCCAAAATACATAAAATGATCCAAAATACATACACTATATTGCCAAAAGTATTGGCTCACCTGCCTTGACTTGCACATGAACTTAAGTGACATCCCATTCTTAATCCATAGGGTTTAATATGACGTCGGTCCACCCTTTGCAGCTATAACAGCTTCAACTCTTCTGGGAAGGCTTTCCATAAGGTTTAGGAGTGTGTTTATTATCATTTTTGACCATTCTTCCAGAAGTGCATTTGTGAGGTCACACACTGATGTTGGACGAGAAGGCCTGGCTCTCAGTCTCCGCTCTAATTCATCCCAAAGGTGTTCTATCGGGTTGAGGTCAGGACTCTGTGCTGGCCAGTCAAGTTCATCCACACCAAACTCTCTCATCCATGTCTTTATGGACCTTGCTTTGTGCACTGGTGCACAGTCATGTTGGAACAGGAAGGGGCCATCCCCAAACTGTTCCCACAAAGTTGGGAGCATGGAATTGTCCAAAGTCTCTTGGTCCCTTTCACTGGAACTAAGGGGCCAAGCCCAGCTCCTGAAAAACAACCCCACACCATAATATCGCCTCCACCAAACTTTACACTTGGCACAATGCAGTCAGACAAGTACCGCTCTCCTGGCAACCGCCAAACCCAGACTCGTCCATCAGATCGCCAGATGGTGAAGCGCGATTCGTCACTCCAGAGAACGTGTCTCCACTGCTCTAGAGTCCAGTGGCAGCGTGCTTTACACCACTGCATCCAACGCTTTGCATTGCACTTGGTGATGTATGGCTTGGATGCAGCTGGTCGGCCATGGAAACCCATTCCATGAAGCTCTCTACTCACTGTTCTTGAGCTAATCTGAAGACCACATGAAGTTTGGAGGTCTGTAGCAACTGACTGCAGAAAGTTGGCGACCTCTGCGCACTATGCGCCTCAGCATCCGCTGACCCTGCTCCGTCATTTTACGTGGCCTACCACTTCGTGGCTGAGTTGCTGTCATTCCCAATCGCTTCCACTTTGTTATAATACTACTGACAGTTGACTGTGGAATATTTAGGAGCGAGGAAATTTCACGGCTATCACAGTACCATGCTGGAATTCACTGAGCTCCTGAGAGTGACCCATTCTTTCACAAATGTTTGTAGAAACAGTCTGCATGCCTTGGTGCTTGATTTTATACACCTGTGGCCATGGAAGTGATTGGAACACCTGATTTCAATTATTTGGATGGGTGAGTGAATACTTTTGGTAATATAGTGTAGTTGAAAAAGACCAAAGTCAATTTTGACCTCTTCAGACAGGCAACCACAATACCAACACATGCACATAGGGGATGTGACGCCTTTGACAGGCGACCAAATGAAATGGACTGTTAAAAAAATCATGAATTTAGAAAACATTTGGGAAAATGTATGCAAAACAAAATATATAAAATAGGTCTTGCTATTTTAGACAATTTAAAGTGGAAAAGTTACATATTATAGTTTTAACCTGCTCTACAATAGACAATACTGAAATGCAATAAGCAAACGGCGCCCTCACTACATTGGCAACTTTGTGGTTTCTCACCATGGTGAGTTTAAATAATGTTTGATTGTACAAAGGGGATTAGCAAAGGAAAAAAAATTTTGGAGCAGTTCCTTAATTGGTGGATAATAACAATAGTCCCTTCCTGTTGCTCCTACATTGAGACAGGGAAATGAGAAGATTTAATTAGAAAATAAGCAATGTTTGCAATAATCATACAGCAGACATTGAGATCTGCATGTTAGAGTTGCTTTCTAAAATGCTCATCAACTTCTGTTTGGAAGGTACTTAACTTGCCAAAATTCTCTGCAAAGTAAACATGGGTCTGTTAAAACCCAGATAGATGTTGTTTCTTGTTTCCCTTACAGTGAACTAAATATTGCCTACCTTAGCCTTCTATCAAGACATCTTACTGTGATGTAAATGATATTTTTGACTTTGCGTCCAGAAAATGTCTGTGTGGATAAGCACATGGATAAACATTCGCCTGGGGAGGGCTGCAAATGTAATTAACACTCCTGAAAGATTTCGGACTTTGAGTTTATGCTCTCTGTACTATATTATGAGTATGATTTTGATCTTAATGATTTCCCCTCACCTAAAACATCCCACATTTTTGTCTGAAAAAAAAAAAGTCATTTGTTCAGTAGGCAGCAGTGCAAATATTCAAAGTGCTCACAATTCACAATTTACCATCCAATATCATCTTCACCTTCTCTAATTTGTTCTTTTTGCCTCTATTTTTTAGGATTTGGATCAATTTTCCTGGGCTATCCGAGCCATGCCTCTCCACCCAGATCCGTAGTAGTTGTTCTGTCTGCTCCCGACAATCACCTGGATTGTCCAGTTTACAAGACTCAATAGTAGTTTGTGATATCCCACTCCGTGATGCTACAGCCTTCATATCCTTCCATCCAAGCGCGTCTGCAATGTCAGGCAGGTGAGGCTCTATATCTGGAACTAAAAGACAGGAAACAATTGAGATTAATGCCACAAAACACAACACGCATCACAACTTTACTCATCTTGTAGGGGCATTTTGATTTTGATGGGTGAAAAAAAAAAAAAAGAAAAAAGAGCACATTCAAAAGAGAGATGTTGTATGTAAGGTGAAAGGCCACGTGCCAAGATTGGGGATGTCATTTTCCTGTGCCAGAGCCACATAACTAATATAAATAAACATTTGTGCCAAATCTTAAGAAATTCCCTTAAGGCATTCCTGACATATCACATTCACGAGAATGGGACAGATGGACCAACAATCAGGCTCTGGCCACAGCTGTCGCCGGTGTGGAGGCATAGATAGAAATTAGAGCTCTACTAGTGCAGCAATTAAAAAACATGTTCTGGGTTTTTTCTTACCATTAAGAGACTGCATCTCCTGACAAGAAGAAAGGAGAATGACTGTTAATATTTTCAACACCCCAGTGATGAAATAACAAACTGCTTCAACAAGCTTTACAAATATGTTGCATCACAACACTGACACAGAAGAATCACACTAACAAGGCCACTAAGGGTTCAGACAACCAACCTGTACATCCTATAGAAAGAGGCGGCTATGTCAAACATTAGGAGAGACAGGGAAGCGTTTATCGTACATGTATGTATCTGTGTGACAAACATTCTTAGACAAAACTATGAAAAACAGGAAAGAGAGCATACATGTTACAGCTGGTCAGAGCTATAAATGCATTAAAAGATCCCACTGAGGAATAACTCACCACATCGTTTGGTGGGCCGCCTCCAGGTGAGGATTCAGGTGTACCCTCTTATGAGACAAATGATCAAAAGAAAAAAAAGATACACAAACATTTTATGAAGAAGATAAAACAGAGGTTTTGACTGTGAATTGAACCTTCAGTATTATTACTATACTTTGCTATTGTAACAAGGAGCACGTGATGTTCTAGTGCCCTCTGATGGTCACATCATATTTATGTTGTGCAGTAGCAGACATACTCACTCAAATTTCTCTTCCGACACACAAACACAGCTACCACAGCTACCACAGCTACCACAATGATCATCAGGACAGTTATGCCAGCTATTATCCCAGTATATGACCCTGAAATGAAAGGTTACAATTTTATTACAAACAAAATTACGTGATTTCTTTTTTTAATATGCAAATGTACTAATTGAAGCCATTATAATTTAAAGCAAATGCTTGTAATGCTAAACTAAACCATACCATTAGTTTTGACATTGCAGACTGTGTTACATCCCTCATCAGCACACCTTGAACCAAAAAAAAAACAACAAAAAAAACAAGCATGAGTGACAGACTGAATCATGACAGCAAATATTGAATAAAAGCTTCTTTAAAAAAATGTCTTGTGTTTTGTTAGAATAGCAAAGAATTGCCAACAAAACACAGACAAGACATTGTTTTAAAGAAGCCATACATACATCTTCAAGTTTAAAGATGATATTTAAAGTAGCAGAACTTACTTTTCACAAGGTTGGCAGAGTCTGCAAACATCCGTGCCACTGCTGCAATAGTGACCCTCTTTACATCCACATTTAGTGTCCTGGGCAGGGGTACAGGGTTCCTTCACCTCTAGATTAGCTAAAATGATAGTATAACCAACAAACTGACATTAGAGGGAACAGTATCTTTCTTAAAAACAAAAAGTGACATATTGTGGTACATAAGTCTTCATTTCTACAGTGACACTGAAGCATGATCTTGAAACACTATGGTTGTATTAGATTATCATGATTTATTGACATTTAAGAGTACAGATTTCTCATAGATAAATTGAGACAGTGCTCCTGATTATTTCTAAAATCTGGAACTGATGGCATTGGAGCTACAACTAACTATTATTTTCTATATCAATTAATCTGACCATTATTTTTTTAACCCATTGCTTAATTTTTTTAATTGAGAAAATGTCAGAAAATAGGGAAAAGCACTAATCACATTTTCCCAGCTCAAGTCCTCACCAAAGTTTTTAGACTGTTTTTTTTTTTTTTTCTAACCAACAGTCCAAAACCCAAAGATAGGTTTATAACTGATGATACAAAACAAAGAAGAGCAGCGATTCATGACATTTGAGAAGCTGAATCCAGGGAACGTTTGGCATATTAGCTTGATAATTTACTTAAACACTTACTTATCAAAACTCTAATGATCAAATAATAATCAATCAACTGACTAATTATTTCAGCTCTTTTTGCAATGATTCTTCTTTATGTAAAGTTAACATGAGGCTGTGACAACACTTTCAGTATACATGGAGATGCATGCAAATTTTAATTATATTGTCTCAGGTTCATGAAATTGTACCATTACAACTGTACAAGGGCAGTGTAAGCAGAGATACAAATGCAATGTATCGGATTGGTTCATCACTACATAGGACCCACCGGAAAATAATATTTTATAATTTAAACCTAGTTATGTGTGCCCTAACGGCTTTGTATAATAGGTGGAGGGGCTTCCTCCTACTGACATGTCACGGTAAGAAAAGCCCAGGTGTAAATAATAAAATGAATCATGACTGAATTCCATTTAATTGCTTCAGTTTCAAAGTCTTGGTTCACTGTCACACTGTCACGGCTTATTGGGACAGTTGAATAGAACGGAGCCATCATTAGTGCTTCTAGTAACACCTATGCTTTTCCTACTGTGACGAGTCAAAATGTCTGCTGTGGAAAGGATTTACTGCAACCACAGCCTAGTCCCTACGAATTTTTACCAATGTTTTGTTTTTGGTATTGGTGAATATCAAAGAAATGTTGATGTCCTGTTGCGTCTGTACCATTGGTCTGGCCACAGGATGTGCACGGCTCACATTTCTCCTGGAAATTAGGGTGACTGCTGAACGTGCCATCTTTACAGAGCTCGCATACTGCATAACTTCCATTTTTAGTGCAGTGACTCACCAGCCGCTGGCCTGCAGTATAGAGACACATGAGTCAGAGATGGAAGAAAATATTTTGATTAGATTGGGCGAAACCGATAATATGCACACCCACACAGACAGCCACATGCAAACATATTCTGATTTCAACTGTTTGGTAATATGCACTACAGCGCAATAAAAACTGAAATGGTAAGGGCATCCTTCCTGCATTTTTACCTTTACTTGAGACCCTGTCATGTGAAAGGGCCCTGTATCTGTTTTGTTTTCTTAAATATTTCAGTTAATATTATTCTTACATAGAGCATATTTTTACAGAATGTAAACAATCACATTTTAACCTAACTAACCTGGCGACCACAACTATTTTTTTGACCCAGGGTTTACCTGATATGAAATATATTTTCTATATGTAACATAATGTAATGTAAAAGATCTCTACAGTGCTGACAGAAGTAAGATCATTAACTTAAGTAAAAGTACCAATACAATATAAAAGCCCTGAATTACAAGTAAAACTCCTACATTCAAAACCTAAGTAAAAGTAGGCCTTGAGTGTCAAAGTAAAAGTACCAGGTGTACAGTAGAATGTCACTTGTGGCTGATTAATTATAACATCTCACATTATTACATTGTTGATAATGTTGCATCAACGTGTAGGCAGCATTTTGCTATTGTAGCTGCTCAAGGTGGAGCTACTGTACTTTTAACTACTTTAGAAACCTGCAAAGGGCTACCAGATAAATCTGAGGGGTTCATGAGATGATTAATGGGAGAGGAAAGATGAGGAAACAAAGCTCTGAACACAAGGCTGCTTTCAGTTTGTGGACATTCCTCTAATCTTAATTTGTGTGTGTGTTGGATAATTTTACCTAAAGGAGATATAATTTGTGAACAACTCTGTCATCTGAAACATGACAAGGAGCCCCAGCAAGACAAGACAGGCAAAAGAGGCTGAAAACCACTTATTTAATCTTTTACTTTTGTGATATCTAGTATCCTCTATCATTGCCTTATTGACAGGAGCATTTGACACCTCCTCAGTAAAAAAGACAGCTAAACTTTTCAAGCGTTTTTCATGTTGCCATTGGAGTTCACGTGTAATGTAACTTACCAGCACCACACTGACAACACAACATCCCTTTATGCTCGTATTCACCATTCTGACACTTGCTCTGCCTTCTGTTACGAACTAGTGTAACTGGATGCTGGGCGATGCCCTCTTTGGTTAGGGATGAGGCTGAAGAATATGCCCTGACGAAAAGATAAAATAAAACAGAAAGTGAAAGTCAGTATGTTAACTAGCTGTTCTGGGACAGTCCCGAAATGTCCCCGGGAAAAGTCCCGGGAATCCGCTGTTTAACGGTTCTGGGGCGATAAACCAGGCACACATTAGCAAAACCAACCTGCTGGTCCTCATCTCTAATGTCTTATCTCTTGTACAAATAAAACAAAATGCGTGAAAACACTTCCAATAAATATCAAATATCACCGTATTTGTGTGGTTTGTCTGAGTATGTTTTCGAGTGCGGCAGCTTTTCTTCGCCTCGTTCTTCGCCTCGTTCAGCTGGAGGTCCTCCGGCCCCCCCCCCCGAGGCCAGAGGACCTCCGGGGCGACACGTTAGGTGTTAGAACCGCAGTCGTTACGGTGACACAACACAAGGCCGCAAGAGGCAAACGGTGAGCCCACTTCCCCACAATCGAAACCCGTCGTTTTCGAGAGAAAATACTTGGAAGAGTAGGTCTAACCGGTTAGCTTCGCTAGTGTACGTCTCAAACACACGTTAAGGAGTAGCTCACAGCCGCACCCTGGGAGCTTCTGGGACTATCCACTGCCTTGGAGATAGTCAAAATGCAGTTATAGAGGATATAGCTGTGAACTGATTGCTAAATTAAACATCGCTTATTGTACGTATCGTCTTCGTCTGCTCCTAACGAATAGATTTTACGTCCAATTCCATGTATACACCCCCCTCCCCGTCTGAATAACCTTACACGATACTTAATCTCAACCCCAAGCGCTTCACTAACTCTTTGCTGACAAGTCATCAAGTCATAAACAGCGTTAACTTCAACCCTTTATTCATATACAGTACACGAAAGGAAGTGATGCAACACCTGGCTACAACAAGTAATCACCAACTAAATATGTACGAAATGTTTGATTTTACTTACAGTGACAAGAAGAGCAGAGCCAAGGTGATAAACTTATTTGAAAACTTGTTTGAATCAGACGCCATCGTGTCAAAAATCCTCCTGCATTGTACAGCGAGCCACTCTGAGAAGCTCTTTATCTGAAGGCTGGGGGAGTGGTGGTTTTACTTACTTGCTTTCAGTTTTAGTAAACAGGATGTGTGCATTTTGCAATATATCTGACTTACAATAGAGACAATAGATAAAATTGTAAAGCACAAAGCTAAATGGTTCCACAATTTATTATTTTTTGTTATGTATTTTTCCAACTGTATATGTAAAGGAATTATAGGATAGTAGCCTATATTTTTGTTATCGTCATGCCAAATAGACAACCCAGGCAGTATAATATGGGCCTACTGAAATCATCTAACTAGGCTACCCACCAAGTGTAAGGTTCTAATTGTAGAATGTAATAGATACCTCAGTTCACATACCTCATTATAGTGAATAATCTGCATATTATTTATTGATTTGTTTGTTTATTTTGATTAATCAGACAGATACAGTAGACAAAGAAGATAAAAAGAAATGCCAATCGCAACTGCCCAGAGCTGTCTTGTTTTGTTCAGCCAACAGTCACACAATCAAAAATATTCAGTTTTCAGCTTTTCTGTATGGCAAAAAAAGGAAGCAAGTGGGAAGCATTTTTTTTCTCTTTACATTTTTATATATTAAAGTCTAGTAACTGCCACTAGGGGGTGTTATTGCTCTTTGGTGTGATAGCTGCTGGGAAAGTGGAGGGTTTTGCTCCTGTTTAGATAATTAAGATATCCATTAAGATAATAAAATATTATTTCTCCCACTATAGACTGCCACATATAGTCAAACTTTTATTTTAAAGGATTCAATACAAACAGCAGATGTTTTACTTTTAAAAACCAGTATATATGGCAGTAAAAAACAGTATACCTTGAAAGTCTTGATTTGACAGAGCCACAAATTACAAAAGAAACATTAGCCAGTGATTCTTAAACATACTTGGATGAATTATGCTTGTGATGCACTCCTTTTAAAGTAATGACCTTAATTTAATTGTGTTAACAGCACCCATGCTTTTCAAGTTATATACAGTCGTAAGGTGTGTTGTGAAAGTGAAGTTTAAAATGTGCAGTTTCTAGCTGCTGACTCATGTCAGTCTTTTTCTGAACAGGAAACTGACCAAATAAAAATAGAAGGAAGGTGATGCAGGTAAGCAAAAAAACACTGCACAGCTGTATAGTCACCTCCCTGATGCCATCTGCAGTGAAGGAAGTTTTGTATAATCAAAATACACTTCCATAATACTATATGAATCAATATAATTTTAAACTTAATCTTTGATTTACAAAGTTCTTGTGGAGTGAAATAATGAAGCTCTTAATGTGCTATACAAGTCATCTCTGTAGCAGGAAATCCTTTCTGTCTGTGCCACAAACTTAAGAAATTAATGCCTCACCCCCACCCCACAAAAACACCATATTTGTTTGATCTCTGCCAAATGTAGTTAACAGCAAATTTATCTTTGAACAAAAGTGAAGGAAAAAAGTGTTTGGCTGGGGAATAAAAACTTAACTTGAAGGAGAACTCCTGTGGGATTTGGTTGTTTTTGCAAGTGTATTAAATTTCAGCCCTTTGTAGTCCCAGTGAGTCCTAGTGTCGGATTTGTACCAGTCTGCTGCCTGTTCATGTGGCCCACTTATAGAGCAAAATGAACACACACACATGCACATGCACACACACACGCCCCCACAGAGTAAAGGCTAATAAATTTGGTGATTTCTTGACTTCCCTGGCATCACTGTAAGGTTGACATTTGTTATTTTGAGTGAAGTGTTTCCACAACTGCTGGTTCTATAGGGGGCCTTCCATGTTTTTAAGCTACCTGATGGCCACTGTCGTTCTCTTACACACTTGGAAAGGGAGGGTTGAAGTAAGGTGTACTCACGTGGCTGCAATCTGCAACCTCACAGCTAGATGCCACTAAATCCTACACTCTGTCCTTTAAATTTGGTGCAGAGATTCTTGTTCCCCCTCGAGATGAACTGTTGTCACATTAATGATAACTTTTAATTTTTTGCCCTCATCAGGTCAAATTTCTATTTTTTCTACATTTATGAACAAGGACCATTTGTGCAGAACTAATGACATTTCTGTCCGACTCAGTTGTATGTTGTGTTTTGTGCCAATTAGCATGCTAACATGCTAAACTAAAGTGTAAACATTACACCTGCTTAACATTAGCATGTTGGTGTTGTCATTGTGACCATATTAGCAAGTTGACGGTAGCATTTTGCTTAAAGCACTACTGTGCCTAAGTATAGCTTCACGGAGATGCTAGTGTGGCTAGAGACTTTTAGTCTTTAGGAAGTATTTCCGTACATTTTCAGAGTTGAAACTGTTAATATAGACGACATAGTCAAACTTTAAAAAGCAAGTACATCTAGGGCTGGATCAAAGACTAATCAATTAACTTTTTTTCTCTATTTGGTTCTGCAACTTACACTTTTATCAAAGCCAAATGTGTAACTTTTTACAAAATGGGTTACTTCATATTAAAAGAAAAAAAAATTATCCTATATGGACATCATACAGGTCAAATGTAGGAGCTAAACCTGATTGTCTCCCTCTGCTGCTAGCTTTAAGGGTAAATAAGTGGTATGAGTTGGACATGGTTGTCTAGCCACAACCACATGTATTTTGGTGTCTCATTCTCTAAAGCTTAATGTAATAATAGCATATAAACTGCTACCAATAGGCCACAATGAAAACTCTCTCTTTCATTCTGCTGTATGGAAACAAAACCAAATAGCTGAAAAACCACCACCAGAGAAGTGCAGCGTGTAGATTTCAGCTCTGTGGAAAGACATTATCATCCATGGCCAATGTGTTCCGCCTCCCATCGCCCCCAGGTCATATGCAGAATAAAGCAGAGTAATAGCTCCACTGAGATGGAGGGGAGGAAAAATAAAATAGAATAAGACAATGTTTTTTGTTGTTAGGAGGAAGCTGCTGGAAGGGGACCATGTTGCAGAGCCTCCCCGGGGACACAGAAGAAGAGGGAGGAGAGGAGTTGGGGGAAGTAGCAGGTAACAGCTCTTCCCTTTGGGTAAAAGAAGCACCAAAAAGAAAGAGAGGAGACTTCAGTGGTTGTCTGTATGCTGAAGTTCATTAATGCTGTGTGTTTCATAGATTAGTTAACTATAGTCACGATGCACTGTGTCTTTTTTTGGAAATTAGGTCATAACAGTGTTAACTCAAAACTCAAAATAACAAGCAAAGAAACAAATTATTCCAGAAATTTTATTGCATGCATGTCAGTGTTACGTTTTGTATCAACTGAAATATTTCCCCCAAAGTACACTATGCATTTGTTAATTTAAAATTTCATGCATGTTGTGGAAGTGTGCTTCCTATTTCATATTTATTTCCTTGAGGTTGAGCTTCGTCTTTAACTTGAGCTGTAGCACTTCTTTTACAGAGCCAAAGCTTTTAGGCCTACAGGTAGTAATCATAATCCATGAATGCACGGAGAATGAACATGAAAACTATATTTCCAAAGGGATTGGCTTTGCTCTTTCAATTCAGAGTAGCTATACTGCTGCGACTTTGACATTTAAATATAACAACCATGACAGTTTTCACTTTTTCTGTCTTGAAGTGAATATTTGAAACATTCACCTTAAAAAGAACCAGAAGGATGAGATTCACAGGTTTGGTACTCAGTGCACATGTTCAGATGCTGAGTCGGTGGTATTGTTTCGACAATCATTAAGGCAGGGATTTTTTTTTGGATCTATTTAATGCATGAACAGTGAAATAGGAAATAAGTAGTGTGAGGCAAAAACATCTGTTGCTAACTGCTTGTCTGCCTTGTAAGCTGTGTCCAGTATAGGAGAAACTGGGACTCGGGTGGGGGGGCAAACCTGACGCATCTTCACACACAGAACAGGAAGAGAGTCATGCTGCTCTTCAACTACAGGAAATAACCTCTGTGCTGATGACGCAGGTCTCAGGGGAAAGCTCAGCAAGTTCTGTAGATCTGAAGCGTACTGTACACTCTGTGACTGCATGAACTGCCGGGCTGTGCAAGGCTGTGCAACATGTTGCAGCACGGATGGACACACACACACACACACACACACACACACACACACACACACACACACACACACACACTCACACTCTTACTCACTCAGTGACACAGTTCTTTGAGGGCTGTTTTGTGACATACATTAAAAAGTAACAATTGTGTTCATCACTAAATTGTCAAAAAAAACCCACAATATGTCCCTGTCTTTCTCTCCCTCTGCACCAGCTTACACACATGCAGATGAAAAGGCGTTAAATCTGTAAAGCTGCCACTAGACGATATGTCTTTGCAGAGAGATTTCCCCCCGCAACACGTCCAGCAGTCTGCCTAATTAGAGCCGAGTGTATCTGTGGGCAAAGGAGTCTGCGTCTGCATATGGAAGGGGGATTTGGCCGTGAGCATTCATTCACTGGGCTGTCTGGTGGGCAAGACAATGGTTGTTCCAAACTGTGCCGAGTGCTGTTCTCCAGCGCAGAGGAAAGACAAGAATAATGCCGGTTGAATATCCCAAGGAGATGGATTTATTGGGACTATTGGTATTGGAAAAATCTGGTTAGGGACTTAATCAAAAGAGAGCGGCAGCAGGGAAAGACTGAGCTGAGCCTGTAGGCCAGGCCAAACTGATTCCAGTCCTGCCTGTTCTGTCCTTTACCTGTCCTCTCTGTCCTTAGAGTGGGTCCACTCCAGTCATTTGTCCTTTGTCTAAACCATTATATCAAAGGACGTTCTCCCACTCTGTCCTCAAGGACAACCCCTCCCTCATTTCTGAGTCATGAGTCCACTCTCTTTTAGAATATGTCAGTGTTTTATGTCTGTGCTCCTCATAGTCCCTAAACCTTGCAGTAACTGTAGCTGTGATCTACACGATTTGACTTTCAGTGAGGGCATAACTTTGCCAAGGCTGCACAATCCTTTCACTTTGTTGTTTTAATAACAGAAAGTGTTTACACATTTTGCATCTGGATTACAATCAAAGGAAAATGTCAGACAATCACAAGGATACTTATGTCAGATTTCTTTCTTTTTAA